ACATTTGTAATGAGGTAGAATTGGCTGAAATGTAGAGGCAAAGAGTACAGGGAAATATTTTACTACCAGAATTAAGAGACGACAGATGACACATCAGTGTAAAACTGGCCAGCAGCAGGACATTTTAATCTGCAAGGATCGGCACAAATTTACTAGCGACAAAGAGCGTAGGTTGGGGATTTACTACAATAATTAAGATACTGCAGTGGATACAGCAGTGCCTAATTGGCCAATAGAAGGACAGTTTTAATTTAGGTATAATAGGCCTAACTGGTGTATACCTAACTTTTGTAAGTGTGAGAGGTTCACACCGCTTTTGCACTTAGTTTATTTTTTAATCAATGCAGCAGCGTGGTGCGAACAAAAAGTAACTTAAAGAACAATTGGTTAGTAACCATCGAATATTCTGCCTAAAACCAAAAATAAATGTTGGGGTCTACCCCCTAACACCCCCTGTAATAAAGCAGTGTTAGTCAGAGTACTGTGCTGGAGTGGTAGTATGTGACAGTGGTTCTGTGGTGGCCAATCAGTACAGTGAACATCATAGTAGGAGGGATTGGCTATAGCAAAACCCATGAGCATGCTCAGAACTAGGGTAGTCCTGTTCCTGCCTCTCCCCTGTTGGGAGGTTGGTGCTCAGGTGCTGGGCGGCTGCCCATGAGTGAGGGCTGGGCCCTCAAGGCCTAAGCTCATGGAATGCCATGTGCCATCTGATTTTGCTGGATCCACTACAGGGACCAAACCCATGTTAACAAAGATCATGGGGACACTGGAGTCACCACAGGAACCTCCACTGGCCAAGGCTACAGTCTGTCCTGAAGCAGAGTATACACTGTAACCTCTGTGGGAATGGAAACACTTCTGGCCTATCAAGAGGGAGAAGATGGACCTTCCACTAGGATCTGTACGCCTTATTAGAAGATAATCTACTATATTACCAGCATTTCAGGTATTCCAGCACACCTATCCATCATCATTATTTCAAGTTCTACATTCATGGACTCTCGAGCTCATTACTCATACAAGAAGACACATGTAAGTACTTACACCTGGGGACAAGGTTATCTCATCTGGGGGTCTCACTTGTACATCACAAGGCCCAGTTGGGTGGAGGCACTGCCAGTACAAATTATTACAGCCCCTTTACTCCCACTTAGCGGAGGCTCAGGACTTCTAAGTTACCCACAGGTCAGCAGCGGTAGTTGATCGGAGACGGTCATCTCACATGACCCCCTCCGAAACAGGGCTGCATAAGAATGAAAGAAAACTTCAAAAGAAGTAAAAGTTCTAAAATACCACCCCTGAAACAAAATCCCTTTTTTTAAAGGGTAGACTTGCAGTAAGCAAAAAAAAAAAGCAGTTTAACCAAAAATAAAGGCATCTTATCAGGAAGGAAATATAGTTGCTAAGAGTGGAAAGCTGACAAGTCACTCATCTAAAGCTGGTGTCATTTTCTCTTGCCATTTCCCACAGTGTTCATCTCTTTCAGCACCTAAGGAGGGAGGGGTAAAAAAAAAAAAACAGGCTGCATCTCAGATCTCTGATTTGCATACTCAACCACACCCAACCTGCAGGGGTTTACATCTTCTTTTCCTTCTCCTCCTACTCCCTACAGCTTTTAACTACCCATGTTGAAATATGTAGACATAAAATAGGAATACACTGCCAGTAATCTCACTCTGTCACGATGTTGCTGATGCAACAACTGCACTACCAGTTAAATGATGAAAATTCCTTTTGGAAAGTTAAGGAGTATATTTAGCCTAAATGAGGATACAAAGCCACAAATATATCACTGAGAAATTCACCTTAATAATGTACTCCTTTAGTGGGAGCTATTCTTACATGAGCAGGTATATTGAAGATTTATGGTGAGAAGGAGAGGGCAAGCAAGGGCAAGTTTCTTCCCACCCTCATGCAGGGTATGTGGAGTGAGCTGTTGATCAGGGGGTAGAACACAGTGGTATGAGTATCAACCACTGCGGAAGGGAGCTGCGGAGCATTGGCCTGCTGCGGAGTGTTGACCTGCTGCATGCTGGCAGCTGTAGTCTCAGGAGGCAATGTTGACACCTCAGCAGTTACTGGGCCCGAGCCCTGTTTCTTTCTGGGCTCGGTAACCACTGAGGCACCAACATTGCCTCCTGGGACTACAGCTCCCAGCATGCAACAGGTCAACACTCCGCAGCTTCCACTAGTGGTGGTTGATACTCACCAGGTCCGAGTCGCACATGAGACCGCAGCAACCCTGGTAGTTGTGGCAGTGTTAGCCATTGTTTCGCATCCACAAAATTACCTTTGTCTGACCTGCCCATTGCTGCTGGCAGAACCCCACTGCAGGCTGCTGCATACATACATAGGAGGGGTATGTTCCTCATCATCTGCTGGATACACACATAGGAGGACTACCTTCCCCATCATCTGCTGGAGACACAAATAGGGGTCCTCGAGCTGGTTGTGGTGCGGCTGGGGACATGGGTGGAGTGTTAAGAGAGGCCTTTTTGGGCTGGCGGGCACCCAAAGACCCCTTCTCAGGTCCACCCTTGTTTAAAGTATTATTTTTGTATATTTGGTTTATTACTTTGGTTATTGGTAAAGTTGTTGGTGTAATAAAAGGGCTGCTGTGGCCGTTAAAATCCATGTTGTGCAGTCAGTGTGTTTATTGGGGTTTTAACGGAGGGACTGAAAATTGACGAATCCATCAGTCAGGTGCTACAAACTACCAGGAGCTTCTGCTGGCTGAGCTATTCTGGAGTAGAGCTCAGTGTGTTCAGTGCATGGAGTTTTATCAAACACAGCATCCCTTTAAATGTACATGGTTCCGTGCACATCCCTGGCAGCCTCTGGGAGGAGCAGGCTTCTGATTATTATTATTATTATACAGGATTTATATAGCGCCAACAGTTTGCGCAGCGCTTCACAATATAAGGAAGACATTACAATCACAATACAATTCAAGACAAGATGGTAAGGAGGGCCCTGCCTGTGAGGAGTAGAGCACAGCTCTTGTTCTTGGCACACCCGTCACGCCCCATGCGCAAGCCAATGATAACAACCTCCTCACTGTTACCAATCCTTCCCTGTTATCTGGTTTAAAGTGAATCTGTGGTTTGATTATGCAGGGAGGGGCAACAGGTTCAGTTTAATTTTGGCCCAACGAGCAACTTATACTTACACTCTCTCTAGTCACTCTTGATTCATCTTCCAGGAAGAAAGAGAAATTCCTGTTTCTCATTTTCAGACCAAAATCCTCTTTACCGCTGGCCCTCATAGACTTGTAAAGCTCTGTAATTGAAGCATCTTCAGTCATCCCAAAGAGTAGGGGTTTAAAATGTAGATTAGTTCAGGAGGGGTAGTAAGAGTGGACAGTATAATACTTGGTAAATATACACCTGTACTTTAATGTATATCTAAAGCCAAATTTATTTATTTATTTTTTCATTTTGGATAATGTAAGATTTTTCTATTTTGGTAATTTGTGTCCCATTCCAGCTATTCCCTTCATGTACTGTCCTTTAGACACAGCAGAAAATGAAAAGTAATTTCTCCAAACAGAAGTCTTAAGACAGCTGTCCCTAAAACAAGTATCCCCATTAGAAGGTATACCCTTTATTCTTGTTGTGGTTACAACTCAAAATTTGGGACTTTCTCTTACTTTTAGCTTGTGACAATTTTCACCAGGACAATTTGAAAAGCTGAATCTCCCCAGTAGGGACACATGCAGCAATAAATGTTTTGACAGAGATTCTAACCCCTCACTACTCTATCCAAAATGTTAAAAAAAAGTTTGGTCACAGATACATTTAGGCCACTAACTGTTAGCTGATAAACATTTGCTAATATACTCTATAGAACAGTTACCACTGTATGGACAACAGTAGCATGGCGTTTTTTAATCACCCACTGATCAAATTAATATACAGTAAACTCTCAGTTATCCGGTATTCAACTAACCAGAACTCTCATCTAACCAGAAAAAAAAATCCCCTGTGTACTCACTCTTTTGCTGATCTGCGGCATGTATTATCCTAAAAACGATCGTGTGCCTATTTGTCTTAAGTGTGTCTATCTGTCTTAATTTGCTTTTTATTATTGCATTTCAATATTAATATGAAGTCAATACAGAGTGGTATGGTATGGTATAGTATGAGGTATGGCATTAGTTAGACCTATTTTTAATAGTAACTCTCAAGTAACCAGAAACTACATTTATCTGGAATCTACCAATCCCCGTGGATACCGGATAACGGGGAGTTTACTGTATTAAAGAAAACAATGACATTAATACATCACGAATACCAAGCTTAATGCCTGAATTGTTATGTTGAGTACCCTTATGTTCGGAATATGGTGTAGAAAGACGAAATGAACATGGAAGTTCATTTGAAGATGTAGCAGCTTCATCAGTTGCAACATCTGCAGGCATTACAGTTTACTGGACAATGTGGAAATTTTGAAGAGGAAGCCATATGCAACATATGGAAGAGATGGTTAGAGAATATGGGGGACAGCCCCAATTAGTAAGTTGTGACCAAATGGATTCCTGGGTGTGCTCCTTGGACTATATGACCAGAGCTAGCCCAGTTCGCCATCCAGGTATTCGCTTAGAAACTTCAACATGGTGGATGTTGTCATCAACTCCAAATGTAAAAAGATAAAAAATGTAGCAGTATAAAGGGGTTCATGTTTTAATTTGAGTGCATTAGGCCTGAGTAGGTGACTTTTGAACTAAACCTACAGAGAAAGCAGTTCCTTTGTGCTTTTACTTCTTGCTTTGAGTTGCTATTTAAAGAGTTAATAAACAAATGGAATTCCAGCACACACCTTTACCTGCCCACTTCTCACAGATTGGCCGCAATACAAACAGATCCGGTTTCCTTTTAACATGTTAGACGACAAATCTTTTAAACAAGTACCTGTAGACACTCCCTGAGAACTGGATACTATATTTTTGTGTTTTGGAGAAACAAAATAACCCCCTTTTGTACTGAATTACAAAATGGAGTAATTCTCATGAGGACATCTTAGAAAAAGGTAAGTGTCTAATTCTTTACAAGAGCATGTAATGACATTATCTAGGACTGAGACTAGAGTATTCAGAGATATATCATGTAGAAATCAGCATGTCACATCTCCTATCAACAAAGTGAACATATTCTAGATATTAAGGAAATATGTATGTGACTGGCGTCAATGATATTGAATCACAGCAACATAACATATAAATACTTATCTATACTTATGTAGAACTATGTAATATTAGCAATATACTTGCTAGTTGTAAGGCTGATTAAAAAGCTACTTGCTGAACTGAAATGGACTGACCTTGCCAGGCTTTGAAGTGTAATGGACTCCACATACCAATATTGTTTTTCTTTTAACCCAAATCAAGCAACAGACACTTTGATTATGTTACTGGAGCACATAATGGGTCAACACATAATAAAATGATGTCTGGTACGTAACAATGCTCCCATGCTAAACTGCATGCTAGAAGAGTTGTTTACCATGAAGCCATAGTGAGTATACGAGTACAGCTTTTTAGAGGATGGACTACAAGTTTTTAAACAGCATGAGCTGACATGGTTTGTAGTCCTAATAGCCAGGCGTAATATATATAAATGTAAGAAAGTTACTGTACACAATAATGCATTTGTTGTTATAGAGTAGTACATGCTCTTCAGAATATAGTTCTCAATTCCTTTTAATGGAGATTGCACAATCTCTCTATATTTATGCAAGTGAAAAAGTTGACCACTCTACCGCTGCATTGAGTCTTATTTTTAAGTAGCCTGCTTTACTGACGAAATGATGTAGTACAGTACCAATCATAAAATCATTATTAAATGTGATGAGGCAGTTTAGGACATTTACAAGCTGTGGACACTTATCAGCAAGTACGATGTTTACCTTCATATTCATAAAGTTTCTTCTTCTAATTTGGTGAATTTTCCCAAGCATATTGCTTATTAGACAAATTTTCCTAATAATATTAGTATTTAAAACAGGAAAATACTGGTTGATTGCCTATAATGGTTGTTGCATTTATTGATGTAGATTTTTTTTAAAAACAACTATTATATTTGCATCTTTGGAGGTGTTTTCAGCTATGAATATGCTGCATAAAGCATCGAAGATATCTTCAAAGTTATTGTTTAAAAAGAGAATTAAAGTCAAACCATTTTTTTTTTGCTTTAGTTCTCTCTTGGGTCACAGGAGTACATTTACTAATGTACTTCTATGACCCAAACTACTGCCCACTATATGCTCACTGTGCCGAGCCGCAGGAAAGATCCCAACAGTATTGTAAGTTTCCCCCCAGCTACCTGATTGACAGTTGGCTCTGCAGAACTCTTAGCAACCTGTGATGCTTTGTCTGGCATCCCATCCAGCTCGCTGACGTCCCTGATTGCCAGGAACTGAGTGTGACGCTCTGGCTGGCGACCCCTAGTTCCTGAAAACCAGAAACGCTGGACAGAGCGGGACGCTGGACAGAGCGGGACGCTGGACAGAGCGGGAACCAGACATATCAGAATCCCCCCCACCCCAGTAATGTGCATCACCACACCAGCACCCCCCACGTAACGTTCATCACCATCAACCCCTCCCAGGCCCCAGACAGCAAAAGTTTAGGGACACCGCTGCTCCCAGCCATAATAACAATAACAATAACAAATAATAACATTAATAACCATATAAACATTTTGTGAGTGATTAAATATCTCCGAAGTAAATTATTAATTTATTGAATATTCCACTTAAATTTGCATGTTATTCAGTACGCATAAAAATAGCCTTAAAGAGACCCTGCCACCACTTCCATCCCTCGCCATTAAATGTAGTTGCAGAAGCTCAACATGCTACAGTAATTGAGACTCCTAAGAAAAAAATATTTACCCTATAAATCAGCCAGAAATTCAATACATTCTGACAGGGGCGTGACTAGAAATCACAGAGCCTCATAGCAAAATTTGTAGCAACCCCCCCTCCTCCCCCTCCAACAGCCTTAAAAAAAAAAGTACCTACCTCCAGAACACGTTTCCGTGCCTGCACCGTCTCTGTCTCCGTCTCTTCAGCTCTGCTCCTGCTGGCTCTGACGTCAGAGCCGGAGAAGAGATCACTCCGCTGCTCACTGCTGCACAGCCTACCTGAGACCCGGCAGATCCCATCTGACACCCTGCAGAGCCTGCCATAGACCCCACAGAGCCTACCTGAGGCCCTGCAGAGCCCACCATAGACCCCACACAGCCCACCATAGACCCCACACAGCCCACCATAGACCCCACACAGCCCACCTGAGACCCCGCACAGCCCACCTGCAAGTGACCCTGGAGAACCCACCTGAGAACCTGCAGAGCCCCCACAGAGCCCACCATAGACCCCACACAGCCCATCATAGACCCTGCCCAGTCCTCCTGAGACCCCACACAGCCCATCATAGACCCCACACAGCTCATCATAGACCCCACACAGCCCATCATAGACCCCACACAGCCCATCATAGACCCCACACAGCCCACCATAGACCCTGCACAGTCCACCTGAGACCCTGCAAAGCCCATTTGAGACCCCACACATGCCAGTGACCCTGCATAGCCCACCTCAGACCACACACAACCCACCTAAGAGTGACCCTGCAGAGCCCACCATTGATCCCAGTGCAGTTGAGATTGTCTATGGTGGGCTCTGCAGGGTCTCAGGTGGGTTGGTTGGGGTCCCTTTCCCTGTACACCAGCTCCTCTTATCTGTCAGCCCAGAGCCGCTGGCTGCTGGGCCCCGGCCTCCTCCCCCTCCAGGCCGGCGCTGCTGGGCTGTAGCCTCTGCCGCCGGTGTGGCGCTGCTGGGTCCCGGCCTCCTCTGCTGCCAGACCGGCGCTACTGGGCCCCGGCCTCCTCCACCTCTGCTGCTGGGCCCCGGCCTCCTGACCGGGCCCCCTCTGACCACGTGGGTCTCTATGGCGGTAGTTACATTACAGGCACCCATACCACTTTGTCCTTTGTGACAGCTGGCTATGAAAAAAATTAGAGTGGTCAGATTATTTCTTTATGTCAGTCTGCCAGCTTAAAAAACATCTGAGATGAAAGAAGTATGGGGGTTTTATTGCTGGCCTCCTAATGAGAATGTTATTTGCCTGGCTGTGCTTGGTTTAACTTCTATTGGGTCAAAAAGCAGAAACAAGCTGTCCGTAAACCAGTGTCTTACCTGCACCAAACATTTCTGCATAACATTACATATGTTTTTCACATATGACATTATAAGCATGTAACCACCTACAATTTTGAAAGACATTGGCTTGTGCTAACTTTTCCTAATAACCTTTTGTGTACTGTTTTCATAGGTAAACCATGAATTGGGGTGTCTTTCAAGCCCTCCTGAGTGGAGCAAGTCATTTCTCAACAAGCTTTGGACGCATTTGGCTATCCATAGTCTTTATCTTTCGCTTGCTGGTTTATGTGGTGGCAGCTGAAAGAGTTTGGGGTGATGAACAAGGAGAATTTGACTGTAACACAAAACAGCCTGGATGCCACAATGTCTGTTATGATCATTACTTTCCAGTGTCCCACATCAGACTCTGGGCCCTCCAGCTCATTCTGGTCACCTGTCCATCTCTTCTTGTTATCATGCATGTGGCCTACAGGGAAGATCGAGAAAGAAAACACAAAGAAAAGCAAGGAGAGGACAATGGACGGCTGTATGCAGACACAGGAAAGAAGCGAGGAGGTTTATGGTGGACATATGTTATCAGCCTTATAGTCAAGGCTTCGGTAGATGTAGTGTTTCTCTACATCTTTCACCATATATATCATAACTATTCATTGCCAAGACTTGTCAAGTGTACATTGAATCCATGTCCTAACACTGTAGACTGCTTTATATCTAGACCTACTGAAAAAAATATTTTCACATTATTTATGGTGGTCACAACAATAATCTGTATTTTGTTGAACTTGTTGGAGATAGGATACCTAGTGACCAAGAGGTGTCATGAATGCCTCATTCAAAAGCATCTCAAGAATCAGTCGACTAACGTCATTGCATATCTTCAGAAGCAACAGATGTTTCATGTTAACAACAAGCTAAATGAAGAACTTGACCAGCTAAAGCCTTGTATTCATATAATGCCACCAGAAACTGAACTGAAATAATATGGAGGTCACAGAATCAAATATCAGAAATAGAACGCCACAAAAAGCTTGAACAGAGCTTTACAATGGACTGGTATGTCACTTCTTAGAGTGACACTAAACTCAGGAGTTAAAACTTAAAAATGCATTCAACTACCTTAACTAATAACATAAATGTATCTTATTTGTATATCACTCATCAGTAGATCCTCAAATCATGTCTGAATTCATGCTGACATTGTCCTTCCTTCTGGAGGGGGGCTACTTTTGTTCCTCATGGTCCCTGTGTGTGTTGTAAACTAGCCACCACTCCAAGCTCGCCCCTGTGATGGACTACAATCTCAATACAAATCAGTGAACTAAATATGATATTGTAATCCATCATGGGAGAAATTTTGGAGCAGTGGCTACTTTACAACTCACACAGGGACCATGTGGAACAAAAGAAGCCACCCTCCAGAAGGAAGGACAGTGTCAGCACCAATTCAGAGATGATTTGAGGATCTACAGCTGAGTGATACACAAATAATATACAGTTTTGTTTTTTTAATAGGGTATTTAAATGCATTTTTAAGATTTAACTTTCGAGTTTAGTTTAAATCACAGCAAAACCTTTTTGAATTCACAATACACATTCCTTGCTTTAAAAAACATATACGTGAGAAAACAAGCAAAGCCGTTAATGTACAGTAATTTGTCAAGGACAGATTTGTAAGCAAGTACTGCTTATCACTGCCACATTGCATTTGAAAGCCTTCTTCTCCTGTTTTAACCTGTTTTGAGTGTGCTTAGCAAGGCAATCACAGAGTGTCCCCAGGAAAAGTCATTGGCATAGCTATTCACATTATCAGACGCTGACATTTTATAGTTCTCCTAGGGCTTGTTATGGCTTTTTTACAGCTGTTTATACTCATAAGTTGATAAGGCACTGTACTGAACAAAGGTCCCTGAACTTTCAAATATCATATTGGAATGTGAGTGAGAAACATATGTTTTGTGTTATTGTATCATTAAAAATACATTATCCACTTTTGTACATTTTATATTATAAACTCATTTTAACACCTAGCGCATATCAGTTTACAGATTATTTATTATGTATTGCTCATCTAAGGAGTTGCCATTAACTATTGGACTCACTTACACAGGATAGAGTGGGAAAGATACAAAAGGAGAGTTAAAGTACACCTGTCATGTGAGAAATATATGGGATTCCATTGTTGACCTATTTCTAAAAAATGCTACTTCCCTGGCTGTCATACTAACTTCACTGACCTTGAACAAGTGTAGAGTATAGACTTTTTTTCTAACACTTGCTGCATGCTTGTTCTGGGTCTGGCGAGTAAAACTTGAGTAGAACAAAAGATGGCCATCAGTTATAGCCCACTCACTTTGTGCATTGATTGTAAATTAAAGTACAACAAATATAAAATCCAGATACTATGTGATGCACAAGCCTCATAGATTAAACAAAAACACTTTCTTTATGTTCCCTGACAGAGTCATATCCTTTTTCATGTTTCACATTCATCCCCTTCCAGACACTGCAGCTCACAGTGGGGGGGTTTCAGCAGCATAGGTAGTACTATCAACCCAGAAAGCAGTGAGTTGGATTAGGTGTGTCCTGACTGACAAGCTACAGGTTTGTGAATCAAAAGTGACTATGCTGACAGCCGCCACCCATGACATAACATTTTATCCCACTGTAGTGTAAGCGAAGACAGCTTACATGAGATTGGCAACTTTGCTCTGAATTTAGGAGCGGTGTAGTGTCTTTGCCACATCGTCACATGAAGCTGAATTAGGTGGACTTCACTGGCAGGCTCAGCAGGTCTGTGTGGGACTTTGCAGGGATGGCTAAAAGAAAACTGTAAGTGCAGATCCACTAATAATGTTTTGCTGCAGCACATACATGTTAATGGGAGGTCATAGTTCTACTTTAACTTCAGGTATTCTGACAGTGCCAGTTGGTGGCTTTCAGAATACATTAGCCCAGCACATTGTGGATGGAGGAATCTGCTAGATTTCTTTCATTCATGTATGCCTGGAGAGGATGTAAGTTCAGAGATCCCACCCAACCCGATGCTGCCTAGGGAGGGTGTAACTCCAGAGTGGCCCAGTCTTTGCCTCCCAGGTCCCTTGACTAGAGCAAGAAGCCAAAACCAAGAAGAGTGCTTGTTCCCTTAGTTGCCCCAGGGCCTATAGTGTTCTAAATTCACCTTCCAGTGAGGTCTGAAGAGTCATTACCTGGTCTTTGGCATAGGCTGAAGATACCTAAAGGTAGCCACCCATCCGGGCATGCAGAATCTACACCAGCCTGTGGTAGAATCATAAGGAGTTTTCATTAGCCTGTGGCAGAAGCTTAAAAAGTTTACTGTAAAGTCTATATTGTGGAGGGATTTTTGCTGCTGTTTGTGGATCTCCTGTACCCCAACCCTCTTTCCCCTCTACAATTAAGTAAAAATATATTAAAAGAAAAGGATTGAAGAATTTAGAGTTTGTCTGTCACCATTGCAGGTCGGTGAGTGTCTGGTTGCAGCTACAGGAAAGGTCACCACTAGGAAGGCAGAAGAGCTTTTTTTAAATCTAGCTGTGCCTTTAGGGGACTTTGCTAGACACTCATATTTACTAACAGGATAATTTTCTCCCCTAGCCTTCACTTTAAATACCCAATAACAATCAAGGTAATTAACCACATGAATCCATGCTGCCATATTATAACTGTGATGGGATAGCGGCTATTGTTCCCAGCACCATTTTACAATGGTGGCAGGAATCAGTGGCTCCTGGATGGCATGGGCATTCACTGCACAAGCATCAAATGTTGAAGTAAGTTTAAGTGATCACAAGCCTGTGAAAATCTCATCCTTGTGCTAGTCTGTGCCCTCATCTACCTAACTTGATCTTATCCTAATGTTACTCTAACAATTTCCATAAACCATTTTTTCCCCTGCGTACGTCACAATGTTTGCTGAGAGGGGAATAAAGTTCTCCTAAAGAAAACAGCATATACTTTCTGGAAAGTCACAATAATGTGATATCATTTTAATCAGCCTTGTTGTTTATATTTAGTGGTAAATATATAGGGGTGCGCAAATTACATAAAAAGGAATTGGGAAATATTATGGGAAAATGCACTTTGTCAATTTTTTTCTAACTATTTATTACTAATAAAAAACAAATAAATACAAATGTATGTATCCACATTTTCTAGAAAATTATGCCTGTATATGGCCTGAAAATGTACAATATATTAGGGTAGACTATAAAACCTAAAAAGTATAATGTGCAGAACTGAGACATCCCTGAAACGAAATAAAAAAAAAATTATCTGGCACTTGGGGATTTAGGGAGAAAAAGGCTTAGGATCTCAAGTGGTTAATAAAAGAGAAAGCTTCCCTGGACCGAAATGGGTATTTGGAGCAAACATAGGCTAGAGTATAAATGCAGATAGAACAGCTGGGTAAAACATAACGTGGACAGTGCTAAATTAGCAGTGAAAGTAGCTTTGACACATACAGAGGTTGCCAAATGTAATTGCATATTCTTTTAAAATAAATTACATAAGCTCAGGTAGTATTTCAGGACTGGGTTTCTTATTTTGCTGGCCTTATGCAGTTTATAGCATGGTAATATGGAAAACTCCTACTTAATAAAGACTCAGTAATTGTCGCAGGACAGACAGTGCATTGGAAAATTATAGCTTTAATGCCAATGCCAACTGTTTTTTTCTGGAAGCTTGGGAACTGTAACATAGTGTACCTGAAACATACTGTACATAGATCAGGATTAAAGTAGCAAACCTCAGGAGGCAGCAGACTGCCTTTTCTTTATTATATAATCATATTTGCTTCTTCATTTATTCTGCTGGATTGAAACCATAAGGATTTAAAATGCATCTAAACCCACAAACATTTAACATATTGCAAATTACCAATCCTTAAATGTGGTGGCTGCATTATTTTTTTTCTAGACTTTTTCCCCCTTTATTTCCTCTGGTGATCCTACCAGTAACACACTTTCTGTCTAAGGTGGCTCTACTCTATAGAGGAACAATGGACAGAAGCAGTGCCAACCTGTGGAGAGGGAAGTGTTGTGTTGACTAACAGATTTAGGCCTTGTTCACACCAAATGCAGACCAGATCCGGTCAGGTTTCTGCACACGCAGTGCAGTGGGTTGTGCCGCGTTTTAGACGCGTTTTTAATGCGTTCCAGACCAGATCCAGAGCAGGTAAAATAGGTATGCCGCAGTTTTTTCATCCGGTCTGGATCTGGTCTGGATCCGCACACTGCGATGTGAACTGGAGGTCAAAATACCATAGGAATACATTGGACGCAGTTTTGATCCTGTCTGCACCTGCTCTGGTCCGGATCTGCTCCGTGCTTGGTGTGAACAAGGCCTTAGGAACAATGGAACAAGGTTAGATATACTTGTCTAACAAATGAAAGCCAAACTTCCGATAACACTTTTTAGGCAGTTACAGAAACAGTTTTTTTTGAATATTTTGAATGAAAGTTTGAATATATATGAATAAAAGCTGAACATTTGAAGCTCCCCTGTCAGTGTTAAATGGTTTGTCTCAACGCTCAAATTGCCACTTTTGCTGGACAACTTGGTCTGTTAAAGGAAATTTAAAAATAACAGACTTACTGGCTGGATCACCAGGTGAAAATAAAATGAATGCAGCCACCACATTTAAGGATTGGTAAGCTACAATATATTAAATTGTTGCTTTTTAGGTTAAATACACTTTAATAGAGTCTTTTGAATATGCATTGATGTGTGCATACAAAAGATCTATGGCCTTGTACAAGGACAGCTAAAGTAGCCTATAGTATACATCATTAAAAGCGGTCAGCATAAAATGTACTTCTGAAACAATATTGACAACTTACTTTGGCAATTTTTATTCTGTAATATTGAGCTTAGGCTGGTAGTAGTGGAATCCGTTAGCAGGGGTCATGTGTCCATCTGTTATGCACATTAAGTGCTCATGGTTATCTTCAGGCTTCAGTCTTCTGTGAGGATGTAGTGGAGTGTAAACGTGAATAAGGGAAAGGGCAGTGGTTCTGGCAGTGGTGCAGAGATCCCGTTATTCATAT